GTTTTAGTGTGCATTACCCTGATTTATTTTTCACTTACACCCTTTGTAAACACTGGGGGATATTCACAGTATCTCTAGGCCGGCCTCTCTCGCTATCGTCCTTTGTACCGTCGCAATACGTTCCCTTTAATACTGGGGTCAGTGGGGCGACTAATTCCCAGTACTGTTTTTAATCCCGGAAGGGTTGAGTTGGTGGTTGGCTGCTCTGTACTGCACTACGTTGCTTGCCCCGTGATCTGAACTCTTCCGACTGTATCTCACTCGTCAATCAATGATCGATCGCAACAACAATTCCAATAATAAGAACGAATTAAGAAATGAATATAACCAAATACAGAATAGCCTATAATTGGCTGAAAAATATATTAACCGTTCAAGTAAGGAAAGGGTCTGCGATTCTTATTAACTAACTAACTGCCTTATCAATATTCTTATCTCCACTATCTTTCCAAGTTACCCCTCTGAGCTCCACTTTATTCCCGGAAGTATTTAGAAAAATCATCTAACCCGATAAATTAACAACTTCCACGAAGTTGTTCCTTCAAGGCTTTTTATAAATTTTTCTAACCGACTCACTTGGTCTTCGTCCACTTTCGTTCTCTCTCTGTAAAGGTCGTCCGGATCGTTCGTACCTTCAGTCTATTTACCCTGAGTTTTGGTTAGAGATCCGACATTCCGTATAAGTCTTAACATATGACTATGTGCCTCCTACGCAGCGTTCCAGTTCATAAATTCAACATGATCACATTAATCTAAATGCCAAGTTCAAAATGCCAATCAAAGCTATGCTGAACAAATAATAAAAGCCGCTTCAACTTAATTCAAGCTATGTTTACATATCAAAATGCCGAAGGTTTTATTTAATTTTCCCGTATCTTTTCCCTTTCCCATGGCTAGGGCAAAACCCCAGGAAGCTTTATTTCCCGTTCATCATAATCCAAAAATTCCCATACATAACCTATTCAAATTGGTTATTAATCGACTCGCGGGATAAACCGTTCCCTTAACTAGGGTCCAATCGAGCCAATAGAACATCCCCCAGAAGCCAATGGAATATCCTGTACACCCCTAACGTTTAGGTTAATTCATTCCCTATTCTCTTGCCTATATTGCAAATTAATATGTGACTACTTTTCTGTGCCATTGACGCATTTCTATTCATAGTTCATTCACCAAGTCAAATTGAGCCCAATGTTTAGTTAGCTTACTCTTAATAGTTCCGACAATATACCATTATACATTAAGCCAAGATATTCCATCAATTTCAACGAAATGCTTAACCAATTCCACATACAGGCAAATCACTAATCCCAGATTCATAAGATAGTCAATTAAACCCCCTAATTACGAAACATATGATTTGGGCTATTTTACGGTGTTAATTTAAGGGGTTTTGTGCTAAAACCCAAAAGGTCAAATAAAGGTCACCCCGGGGGTCAAGCCCCCACAATCGATTCAGGGTCACATGAGGGTCATGCCTACCAAGTTTCATCCATATCCAACAAATACTTCAAGTTATTCCAATCTTAAGGTCCATTATCACTCTTCCCGGAAAAGATCAATTAGTACCGGAAAGGTCAACTGGGAACTATGACTTACAGGGACCCTTTTTTATCAGGGTGGGTCATACTGCGCATAAGTGCCATGAAATCGATATGCCCTCGCTCATTATTTTGCGCCAATTGCCTCTTGGCACCTCCAGGGGGTGATTTTCCCAAGTGCTAGTAGCCCGTGCCATTATCACTCAATCGGGTCATCATCACTATCTACCATCCCTGTAAGTTTCAGCTCCCTGGGGTCGCTAGGGGTCGAGAAATAGCCTCCGGAAGTTGGGTGGGGGTTTGTTTGTTTAGGGCGTAAATCGGGCCGGGTTGACCTTGGGATTCTGAAACTCCAAATAAAAACCTCCCTCACCTAGGGCTACCACATACATAAAAGTGATCTCAATCGGTCCAATAGTTAAGAATTTCCGTCGGGGCCATTTGCACTTCCGAGAACCGTTATAACTCGACTCCGGGGGGTTGGGTGGGTCCGGCTCTTCGCATGACCGGGTCAAATCATCTCTAGTATCACTCCACGTAAAGTTCGCCCCAGTGGTTACGGAATTGGGGGGGGGGGGGGGGGTTCTCGGAGATATTCTACCACCCATTTTCATTTTAAAAAAGGAATTATTTCCTCGCTATCTGAGCAAATACAAGATTAATTCGATGAACTTAGCTACTTTATTATTTACCGGTCGATCATCAAGCTGCGTACTAAACATTCAATTTACCTCGTTACATATTAATCAATTCATCATAGCCACCATGGATTTTGAAAAATATGCCAAAACTTCCCAATACTTTCAAGCCGATTCCAAAGGGAAGGATGATATTGTCAGCCCGTTTTCCCGTAACCAACGGATAGTTTTCCGCTTAAAGATAAAGAAATTTTCCATTCTCGATCGTACACTATGCCGAGACGGGAAAATCGTTCTACACGTCACTTAACGTCACTCCCGTGCTACGCAACTTACACAAATCGGCATTAGACCACCAGGGAAACTGCCGTGAATTACATCGAGAAGCACGTTCGAGGTATTTTTTTGAAAGGGAACCTAGTTAGTTGCCAAAATGTCTGCTTACGATGTATCGAGTGTGCAGAAGCCAGGATGATTTCATCCGACAAGGTCCCCATGCAGCACTTAACGGCCAAGACACGCGAACGAATATGCCGAACGATTATGACACCGGTGAAGAAAGCAAAGGGAAATCGTTCGCATAAACCTTGCGTCCCTGTCTTCGTAGCCGGGAAGAAGCCTATCGCCACCCAGGACGCCGATAGCGCTAACGTCCTCACCCACGAGCCAATTACACTTGAAGGTGCCTGCATTTTTCTTCCTGTTTACTGGATTGTGTACATTACATCATCACCGGGAGAAAGGTACAGTCTACCGCCTGCAACGGACCTTAGAGGATCGGTAATCGCGCGAACGAAAGCGGTTAGATTCCTTCTATTACCCTTATCACGATCTCGGCAAAACATTACTATCCCGGGGGTCATCGATTCCGACATGCACCTGCTCGCGGAAATGCTTGGGGTACATATATACGAGTACCGGACCGACCAAAGTGCCCCTAAATGGAATTACATCGCGGGGAATAAACACGGCCAAAACGGGGAGGAAGCTATCTACCTTCAATACTGGCTAAAACTTGAGGGGGTCCATAAGGGAGAGGGACATGTAGCCATCATTACTGGGATGCGTCCAAAAATGTCATAATTTTACCCAAAACTCACATTAGAATTCACCATTCATATTATTACCTATAACCACCTCATTTTCATCCTGTTATCTAATTTCGACCAATTTGGGTATCCATTATGCACATTCTTCGATTCGTTCAACTCTTGCAAATATTTACTACGAATATTTACCAGTTTATAGGACGTTCGAAATTGAGCTGTGCGGATCATTCTAATTTGAATGATCGCTACAATCAATTGCATCGAAACGTGAGTAAACTTCGTTATAACTTTCAATAATTTGTTTGGAATAATTTCTAACCTGTATTTTAGCCCATCTTGTCACTAACTTAGAAACAACCGTACTTGTCCTATTTAGACTCACGATCAAACTGCAAATGTCCCGAAGCAAATTCGTCTGGAACCTTGACCTAGAGAAGGGGTTCTGCCAGGACTGCCGTTGCTTCTTCTGGGGCCGGGCCCAGAAGCCGGAGGAACTTCTACGCCAGGTGTCCCAAATCAAAGTCGCTGCCAACATGGCGAATACCAGGGGCGATTATAGCTTGTCACCCCTCTTCATCCGGTTCGTGGGGGAGGAAGAGCTCGACGAAATGACCCTATTCGCGGGGAGCCCGGTTGCGCTGGGCGAGTTTGCAAAGAACCTGGGCCCTCGCCGCAGGGTGTTAGCTGGAGATATCGGGGAGGTTTGCTCCCTCATAGAGCTGGTCTCGGAAAACTAGGAGAGATTTCTATGAACTGGAAACTCCCCTAAATTTCTATAAATTTGATGTCGAACGATTATATTAATTCAATCTATCGGTAAAGTATTTTCCGGCTATATAGTTTTAAGTAGAATTACTTATTCTACACCCTTTCTAGGTAAATAGCTTAACAAAACATTGCCAACAAAAATTTGGAAAAGAGCCAGTTAACACAAGTGACTAAAAAATACTTCTTTTTGAAAAAATTATCAAATTTCAAAGAAAAAATAAAAACTCCAAGATTTTTGAATTTCTAGAACAATTTTTTTTTTACACTTTTTGATAGAATTAACCCAATTTGAGAAAACTAGATGGCTCTTTTTCCTTCCCCCCCCCCCACCTCACACGAGCATCAATTTGATGGTGTAACGAGTGGTTTTACAAGGTTAATTATGAAGACCAAACATGTTTGCCATGGCCTTATTAGTCCGTATGCCAATTTTCATAACAATCAAATAATGTGAACAAATTTTTCATTTGTAAAATTTTGCAGGTGGGGGGAAAAGGAAAAAGAGCCAACTAGATCAATAGTAAATTCTTTATTTCGCGGGGAAATCTGAAAATTAAGTTTTGGAAACTAGATTACGCTTTTCATGAATTTTAGACTTTCGCAGTTCGGTAGTGCAATTTGCCTTCCTTTTATTAAAGGAACTGACCGAACTTAAGAAAAAATCAAAGTCAAACCGCGAAAAAGTTAATTTGTGCCTTAACAACTTCCAAGGTTTTTCCTGAAAAAAACAAACGAAAACAAACAAAAAAAATTATCAGGACTTTTATAAGAGACTGAACTACGTTCATAGACTCTAAATATTCAACAAAAAAATAGACACTCTACTCTCATGTTAAAAATTGAAATTTATTATGTTTCGCCGATCATGTTTGACCAATTTTAGGTGAGGAAAAGAAGTTCCCATGCAAAAAATAAAAAATCAAAAACTATTCATAGCCTCGAACTCAACCTGGCTCTTTTTCAAGGTGAACTTTAACTGCAGTTAATTTCTGGTGTTTCCAATCCACTGTTTCTCTTTTTCAAATTTTACAATTTTCAGAGACATTTAATCACTAGTTTGCAAAGGTTAAAAATACACGATTTGATCTAATTTAACAAATTTAAAGCATGTGCGAGTTTTTCTTTTCAGAAGAAGCCATCCACATTTTAACAGCAGAGCTGATATCGCACTCATTGCACGTGCATAATATGCTTGATTTGTCATGCAGCTCATCTAGCATAAACTCAAACCCGCTGTCACCATTGGGCGTCGGCGTAGTTGTCGGAGTAGCGGGAGAGCTCAACGATTGGCTAAAAAGCTTTGCGAATATCTGGTTGGATAACTTCGCCTTCTCTAGTCTGATCCACAGCTGCGCCGTTGAGATTGTCAGATACTGATTCTGATTGGACGGCGCTTGTCCACCCATAATTTGTTGCACAATTTTTTCTGCACTGCTAGCAGCACTACTGCTATTAATAATTGGGTTAGTACTAGAGTTATAATTGCTATTAAGATGATTGGCACCTTCTAAACTGTTGGGGTTAAAATTGCAACTAGGAATTGCTTTGGAGCAATCTACAAACATATTTGAAAATGTAGCTGGGAGCCAGCCCAGATAGCAGCTGATGAAACATTGCACTAAAGTAGGCGTGGAGCATGTGAAAAAACTTTCATTAGAGATTAAAACTTTGAAGAAGTTGTCGACGAGGACCGAAGATTTAACATGTTGAACGATAGACGGAAGCGAAGTGCTGATAGATCGGAAGCTACTGACATAAACAATAATCGCGAGAAGTTCTGCAACTTTAGAGGGTTCCGGTTTTACGAGATATTTCTTAGAATTAGGCAAAGGCGCGTCCCATCTTAGAATAAGCCTTGGTCGTGATAGCTGCAGAGAATTAGATGAACTGTAAGACTTGAAAGGACAGAAGACGTAAAACATGTGGGGTCCGATTCCAGACAATGTTGGTTCGTAAAATTTATGCGAAATCTGCGACAGTATATCGAACAGAAACATTGCACAGAGTCTAGTCGAAACTTGACTTTGAGTGGAGAACTCAAGAAGAGGTTTGAAGTCGCCCATGTCGCTCACCAGGTAAGGATTGTAGTTCGATAGAAAAGAGTTCAATACGTAAGAGTTCTGATTGGATAGAAAATCTATTATTTCATGCGATGTATCGGTAGGAGATCCGAACAAGGTATTCACATATTGAACAGGTGTGGTTGCGTTAGAGCTACTTAAAGATGACGCATATGATGACAACTCATCGGGAGACGTTTGAGAATCACTGGCTTGAGACAGGAACGAAATGATGCGAACGGGTCTTCGTGGAATGTTCTTCGAGGTTCGAGGTTGGGTTCCGCATTCGGAAGACATCTCGACTAAAGATTGCGTGCGGTTGAGAGTGCCACCGGTTGAATGCTGTGTCGTGCTGATGTAAAGAGGCTTGGTTGAATCGCGCAAATTACGAGCTAAAACCACAAAAAACTGCTTAAATTAGGTTAAAATTCATCCAAAATAGTTCAAAACCACCTTGATAATTATTCGAGTTTTGGAATTGATTCTTCTCCAATTATGGAACAGATATGATAGTAAAAATCAAGTAAATGTCAAACAACTGTCACTGCTACCATTAATGACTGTCAAACTTTTCTCGGGTTAGGATCCCAAGAGATGCAAAACATCCGATGCCTTCAATCTGAGTATCAAAATCGATGATTTCACCTGTACTTTCGAACTTTTACCGAATAATTACAAAAGCAAATCAGATAAAATTTGTAAGATCATATATCATTCGTCGGACGGACGTCATCAATAGCAAAAGTAAATGCAGGCTTAGTGTTCAAAAGGGAAATCTGTTTGAATTCAGATACATTGGAGCTCACCTTTAGTTGCGGCAAGTTCACTGTTAGAACTATTTTCTGAAGCGGTGGTCAATTTGCTCAACCCTTTTGCTTTGGTCTGCTCCTAAACACATTTCATCCGTTAGTTGCTCGCACGCCAAATTTGATCAAAGTACTCGTTAAATCATGTCGAGTACGGACAAATTATCGCTGACCATAATTAAATTTAATCAATACTCAAAGCGAAACAAAACCAGCCAATTAAATCTCAGTACTCAAAACATCAAGAGAAATAAACGTGAAATTCAGTCAGTTTAGAACAGTTTCTTCAAGAACTTAGATTGATTAAGAAATTTTGTATATTCGGTATAATGTCAAGAGAATAGCCCCATACTTAAGCTACACATCTACAGACGCATACTATAGTTAAGAAAGCAAAATCCATTGAAAACAAGATAGCCGCTTACTGTGCAAGTAGCACAGAATGCTCAGACCAGTCTTAAAAATACAAGGAAGTTTTTTCAAATTAGTTTCGTTTTTTTCGGCGTGGTGTGATAAAAGGAGCTGAGCGAAAAACTAGAGATTATGCATATTCGACATTCATAGAAGAATACACAAAACATTTTTTTTAGAAGAATACACAAAACATTTTTTTTTGTAGAAATGACTTAAAAATCTTTTGAAAATTTTTTAAGCCCTCAAAATTAGCTATTGTAAACCTTCTCGTGCGCTTTATTCGCTCGAATTAAGACAAAAAGCGAAATATTTCAAACCAGTGGTAGCTGAAAAATCTGTGGTAGCTGATTTTGCGTGGAAAACAAAAAAAAATCACATCCGAATATAAAGTTTCTTCTCATTTTTCAAATGATCGGAACAACAAGATTAGCCGCTTACTGTGCAAATAGCCAAAACGTTCCCACCATAGTCTTAACAAAACACATTTTTTTCAAGTTAGTTGTTTTTTCTGTGTGGTGTGATAAAAAGATCTGAACAAAAAAAATTAAGCATATTTGACAATCAGAGTCAAACAGGGCAACTGAAAACAGTTTTTGTAGAAAAATGAAAAAAAAAATCATTAAAAATTTGCAGAAAATTGTTGATGATTTAATTCCAATAATGTCGCTTAAAAAATTCGAAATTAATTTTACTCGAGTTAAACTAACTTTTCACGGCTTAAATTAAACGTAAATAAGCTAATGTAAGCCTGAACGCTCACCTTATTAGCCGGAAACTAGACCGGAAATCAAAAATTTCAACCCGGTTTTTCTCGAGACAAAGCAAAAAAAATTTAAATTTTTAATGTCGTTCGAATCACAACTGAAAGTGCTTCAAAACGATATATAACTCGACCCATTTCGATGAATATTTGGGGCACCTGATTTTGCGTCGAAAAAAACTAAAACACACCCAAAAAGAAAGTTCCTCCACATTTTTCAAATGGCTGGAACAACAAGAACTCGTTGCTGCGATAGCAGCACCACCAGATATATCAGTCCACATATATCAGGTATAAAAAATTGAAACCATAGAAATTGAGTAATCGCTAAAAAGTGGTTTGACCCTTTTCCTTATGAATACCGCAAAAAACGTTTCTTATAGCAATCCGGACCACGACTGAAAAGTCTTCAATTATGATACATCAATTGACCTGTGAAAAATAACACAAATATAAATTTCTATCTTCGATGGCCAAAAATACAAAAACAAAAAGAATACTTACCAAAGGAAGCGACTGGATATCATAAGCTAATTCATCAATGCTCGATCCCAAATCATCAGACTCGAAATTATTATTCGAGTTGCGGAATACCGACAACGTCATTTCACCGCGGTGCATTGCCGGCGACTGTGACGCACTTTTGTTATGCCTCGAGATTGCATCACCTCTAGATGGAGTCTTGTCCCTCTTGAGAAGTCTTTTAATAGTTGAGAAAGTTGAAGACAGTTTTGAAGGCGTTTGCGGCTGCTGCCGACTTACCCTGTTCGCATTGTTGCCCGGATTTACCTCATCTTCGAAAACATCATCCACATTTTTATCATTTTCCAATTGCAATATCTTCTCGTTTGGAACCGAGTGTTTCCTTTTACCTCTAGCTGGAGTCGAAAAATTAGAATCCGGGTTCCAGTTAATATTCATGCAATTATCCCGGTTCACTTTTCTGTTATTAGGCAGTGTTTTGAAGTGTCTAGCAGCATTGTTGTCGACATTGTACGCGCTCTGAGCTTGCGGAGGTTTCTTCGTGCGTCTCCTCGATGGTTCCGGGGTCACTGATCGCGGAATGTAAGCAGTCTGGTTGCCATGGAAGCCAAGTGCTTGCATTGTCGACGTATCCGGCCTCTGAGGTAGCGGTCTGTCCTTTAAAGTGAACGACTGTGTTCTTGGGTGATGAGGAAAACTTGAGACATGCGAAGTATTTTCCACGACAACTGAGGCAGAGGGTATATGTGAAATAGGCGGGACGGGTGGGGGCGGAGGCGGCGGTAGAACTGGTCTGGAAGAAAGAGTTCCGAAATCAGGGTGAAATTGAGACGAATGCTGGTGCTGGTGGAACCCCCCAATGGAATGATGTCCTCCGAACGTTGTCGTATGTGATTTGGACGGTCTGTGATGAGGCGCAGGAAGCGTTTTAATAGCTTGAGGGGGTAAATTCAGGCCACTCTGGATTTCATACTGGTCCGCGCTGCTACCGCCTGAGTTCGGTGGTGAACTATGGATCCCGCCTCCGCTTCCACTTTCCATTGTGTCCGAGTAATGCCCAGTTCCGCCTTGCCCACTACTCGCTCTTTTGAACACTCGTAGACTAGAGTTACTGCCTGATGTATGCACAGATGTATTGCTACCTCCGGACGTGTTAGATGAGCTATGTTTCTTCGACTTGCTGCTGGGTACTGGGTTTATCATCAACGGAACTCGCCTGCAGGTCCCGTTATTCTCCGTCGGTGTATCTTTTTTCATCTTTTCGTACTCTTCATAGATGATCTGCGCGTAATAAACCGATGACTGTGAACTGTGTTTATTATTAGGCTTGTCACCTTGTTCTGCAATGTCCTCAGTTTTCACATTTCCTGCAATTTTGCCGCCTAAAATTATCTCCTTCCCATCCTCGGGAGAAGAGAGCATCGGAACTGATCGACCGAGTTGCGGCGACTGTGGCGAGAGAGTTGTCGCCTCGTGTTCCGATCCATAAAAAGAGCAGTCCGCTCCGTTTCCGTCCGAAAGTCTGTCCAACGAGGCCGAGAAAGCTGTCGAGCATGCCGTGTCCAGTACATGGTAAAACGGTTCACTCGTTTGCTCCATCATTTTGGTAGTAATTTGTACCTTGTGAAACTGTGAAGTAGATGAAAAAGGCAATTTTTGCCTGTAAGTGTTTTAAAAGCACTATTATTGTGAAAATTGTCACATTGCTTCTGTTGCTTGAGCAGCAGAATTACTCAGTTACACAAGTCATTAAAACTGAAATTGACATGAAGTGAATTAATTTGGTAACACGATAGGATGTGAACTAGAGCCAAAAAATAAAACAACGTTGGCTTTACTCAAAGTGAAAACTCAATGGTATATTTTAGCTCAACGTATTTTCTAAACAGTTCAAATTGGTTCAAAATATAAATGGTAGCAGTATAAGAGTTACGCTGTTGAAATTTGAATGATACTAGCTAGCTATTGTTACAAAATGATATCGATCGACCTTACTATCAAATTTGACAAGTTTACCCACCAAGTAATTTACGTAATTAGGCACTACAGACTATTTGCTGCCTCGCTCTGATCTTAAAACAATTAAAACTAATCACTAAAACAGACATCGATTATTGAAAATCGCTTCAAAGTCTACAACTAAGTCAACAATTATACCATCAAACTACACTTAGACTTTAGAATTCTTCTGCAAAAATGTTGACACCAAAAGATAGCAGACCTATTCGAACAGTCTATAAGTTGCGTCCTTGAATCTGCAATTTCGCGCGAAATCATTTCCCACGTTTGAAGGCGCCATTCAAAACGTGTGAAAGTTCGCCTGTTTCTTCTTGGCATCAAAAACTAAGATTTGAACAAATTTTCACACCCGCAAAGATGAAACGCGAACGAATTTCTTTTCATCTTCCGTGTTGACCATGTTGTCGCATGCTTCTAACGAATGAATACTTCTTCAAAATATTTTTCATCTCTTCGATTTCGCCGCCTTCAAAACTGGTCCAGAGATCAAAGAAACTCACGATGTCGTTAACTAGAATCGCCAACTGCTCGAAATCAACCGTGCAGTCTGCAAACCACGCTTTATGCTCCGCCGACAACGAACCCAAACCACCCGTTGCATCCATACTTGACAAATTTGAATGCGAAAAACCAGTCGAGCAACTTTGCTTTCGGTAAGTGCAACAAGCTATGAGCAATGCCGCTAATGCTATCATAAAAGGCGGTTGGGTGAGAATCAAATCTGATCGCATAACATCATTTACGACTAGCCAGGAAGCTTTTAGCAATTCGTTGTTTTGATCACCAATATCCTCGCAAAACTGAGTTAGAGGCCGGTAGGGTTGGAATACTATTAGACAGCAATCCATAACCTCCATAAGAAGGAACTCACAGTCATGTATATCGTTAACTTTGTAAGGATATTCGTCAAACTGGAACACGTACTTGAACATATTTGACTTGATAGCTGCTGTACATTTTTCTATCAATCTGCTATTCGGCGAGGCGCCCACTTCTTCGACTTTTGAAGCCAAGAAAACTGAAGTTGGACACAGTAAAATAGGGTCAATGTCCTTTAAAGAGTATCTGGAATAAAATCGTTTGAAATAAATAATCGCAGTCGCTATCACCTGTTGGCGCACTTTCAACTCTTCGCCTATCGCTTGAATCAACTGGCCAAAAAATATGTGTACTTTTTGGTACTCTTCGCATGTAAGCCTCTGCAAATCTGCTTGTCGGCCAAGTAGCATTTCTTCTTTGTCGAACAACCATTGTCGAAAATGGGAACTGTTCCAAAAATTTCCAGACATTTGCACCCTGAAAAACAAGTTATCATGACAAATGAAGGTAGCTGTTGCCAAGAATGAGATAAGAATTTAATTAGACGAATCATGCTGTGACATTCACGCTATACTCATTATTACTTATAATCCATTGTTTTCTCAACTACTCTGGAAAGATTAAGAATCAAAATATCAATGGGTTAACCTGATTTTATCAAAACCTAAGTAAGCCAAAAACATTGAGCCACTTTAAAAACAAATGGTATTTATCAAATGCTTGAATAGACTAACTTAATCAAACACAATGTTTTGTTTCGATTTTTTGTTTAAACTCTGAGCTAAAGAACAAAATAAATATTTTTAGAACAAAAGTAAGTTGTCGATCTTTAAGAATTCATTAAGTCATTGAATAACTACACAAATCAGATTGAACTCAAAAAAGGAATACTTTTCATGAATTCTTGTCTTCAATAGGCCATGTCAAGTGAACATTTGCAACATCCAATTGAACAATATCGACATTGGTCCTTCCCAAAATATCACAGACCGAAGGGCTAGTTCTTCCCAAATCCCCATGGACCCATTCCTTAACATACGTTCCCGCTTCAGTTAGAATCCTCAACGTCAAATAATGTGAAATACCTTCTTGTTCACATTTTAATTCAACCCCTTCAGGCGTAGCCCACAAAATCCGCCTTTTCCGGTCGAGCAACGACCTTCGATGCAATACACGTAGCGGCGTTTTCTGATTAATTTCCAAAGGACTGATAATCTTCAGTTTTTCAACTTCATTTGGAGAAAATTTTTCTCCCTTTGAAAACAAAATAGCTAAATACTCTTTCGTTTTCTCCGTTTCCCCATTACGAAGTACGTCCAAGTTTTCCTTTTTCACAACATGCAAATGAGAAACCTTTACATCCGGCTTTGATGTTGAGTTAATCTCTTCCTGAATGGTCTTAAGCTCATCGCTAGTAACCTTTGTTACACAAGGGGTAATAAGTTCAACTGCAAAAGGTCGTCCGTTACCCAGCATTTTCACATCTATGTCCTCGCGGCCTGAAGATCTGAACATGGCGCTATCACACTTGAAAAAGAGCTTCATAGGCTCTGTTATTAGTTCCTCTATTGAAGAGGTCCCCTTCCTCCTTCCTCCAATGAACCATGGCGTTTGACTCAGGGTGCGGCTGAACTTCAAGTACCTGCAAAAACAATGCTGATATATTCATATTTTGATAAACTATAACAAAGATAAAATTCTAGATAGCTCAGCATAAAAAACGGATCTCTTTAACTATTCCCAACCCTACTGCAAATGAGGGAAACTTCATTACTACTGTCATTATTTTAAGGAAGATAGTTTTTGAAAATTCAGAATTAATACATGAGAAAGAATGCATGAAAATACAGTAATAGTAAAACAACGGATCTTTAACTATTCCCAACCCTACTGCAAATGAGGGAAACTTCATTACTACTGTCATTATTTTTAGGCAGATAGTTTTTGAAAATTCAGAATTAATACATGAGAAAGAATGCATGAAAATACAGTAATAGTAAAACAACGGATCTTTAACTATTCCCAACCCTACTGCAAATGAGGGAAACTTCATTACTACTGTCATTATTTTTAGGCAGATAGTTTTTGAAAATTCAGAATTAATACATGAGAAAGAATGCATGAAAATACAGTAAAAGTAAAAAAAAAAACGGATCTTTAACTATTCACAACCCTACTGCAAATGAGGGAAACTTCATTACTACTGTCATTATTTTTAGGCAGATAGTTTTTAGAAAATTCAGAATTAATACATGAGAAAGAATGCATGAAAATACAGAAATAGTAAAACAACGGATCTTTAACTATTCCCAACCCTACTGCAAATGAGGAAAACTTCATTACTACTGTCATTATTTTTAGGCAGATAGTTTTTTGAAAATTCAGAATTAATACATGAGAAAGAATGCATGAAAATACAGAAATAGTAAAACAACGGATCTTTAACTATTCCCAACCCTACTGCAAATGAGGGAAACTTCATTACTACTGTCATTATTTTTAGGCAGATAGTTTTTGAAAATTCAGAATTAATACATGAGAAAGAATGCATGAAAATACAGTATTAGTAAAACAACGGATCTTTAACTATTCCCAACCCTACTGCAAATGAGGGAAACTTCATTACTACTGTCATTATTTTTAGGCAGATAGTTTTTGAAAATTCAGAATTAATACATGAGAAAGAATGCATGAAAATACAGTAATAGTAAAAAAAACGGATCTTTAACTATTCACAACCCTACTGCAAATGAGGGAAACTTCATTACTACTGTCATTATTTTTAGGCAGATAGTTTTTTGAAAATTCAGAATTAATACATGAGAAAGAATGCATGAAAATACAGAAATAGTAAAACAACGGATCTTTAACTATTCCCAACCCTACTGCAAATGAGGGAAACTTCATTACTACTGTCATTATTTTTCGGCAGATAGTTTTTTGAAAATTCAGAATTAATACATGAGAAAGAATGCATGAAAATACAGAAATAGTAAAACAACGGATCTTTAACTATTCCCAACCCTACTGCAAATGAGGGAAACTTCATTACTACTGTCATTATTTTTAGGCAGATAGTTTTTTGAAAATTCAGAATTAATACATGAGAAAGAATGCATGAAAATACAGTAATAGTAAAACAACGGATCTTTAACTATTCCCAACCCTACTGCAAATGAGGGAAACTTCATTACTACTGTCATTATTTTTAGGCAGATAGTTTTTGAAAATTCAGAATTAATACATGAGAAAGAATGCATGAAAATACAGTAATAGTAAAACAACGGATCTTTAACTATTCCCAACCCTACTGCAAATGAGGGAAACTTCATTACTACTGTCATTATTTTTAGGCAGATAGTTTTTGAAAATTCAGAATTAATACATGAGAAAGAATGCATGAAAATACAGTAATAGTAAAAAAAACGGATCTTTAACTATTCACAACCCTACTGCAAATGAGGGAAACTTCATTACTACTGTCATTATTTTTAGGCAGATAGTTTTTTGAAAATTCAGAATTAATACATGAGAAAGAATGCATGAAAATACAGAAATAGTAAAACAACGGATCTTTAACTATTCCCAACCCTACTGCAAATGAGGAAAACTTCATTACTACTGTCATTATTTTTAGGCAGATAGTTTTTTGAAAATTCAGAATTAATACATGAGAAAGAATGCATGAAAATACAGAAATAGTAAAACAACGGATCTTTAACTATTCCCAACCCTACTGCAAATGAGGGAAACTTCATTACTACTGTCATTATTTTTAGGCAGATAGTTTTTGAAAATTCAGAATTAATACATGAGAAAGAATGCATGAAAATACAGTATTAGTAAAACAACGGATCTTTAACTATTCCCAACCCTACTGCAAATGAGGGAAACTTCATTACTACTGTCATTATTTTTAGGCAGATAGTTTTTGAAAATTCAGAATTAATACATGAGAAAGAATGCATGAAAATACAGTAATAGTAAAAAAAACGGATCTTTAACTATTCACAACCCTACTGCAAATGAGGGAAACTTCATTACTACTGTCATTATTTTTAGGCAGATAGTTTTTTGAAAATTCAGAATTAATACATGAGAAAGAATGCATGAAAATACAGAAATAGTAAAACAACGGATCTTTAACTATTCCCAACCCTACTGCAAATGAGGGAAACTTCATTACTACTGTCATTATTTTTCGGCAGATAGTTTTTTGAAAATTCAGAATTAATACATGAGAAAGAATGCATGAAAATACAGAAATAGTAAAACAACGGATCTTTAACTATTCCCAACCCTACTGCAAATGAGGGAAACTTCATTACTACTGTCATTATTTTTAGGCAGATAGTTTTTTGAAAATTCAGAATTAATACATGAGAAAGAATGCATGAAAATACAGTAATAGTAAAACAACGGATCTTTAACTATTCCCAACCCTACTGCAAATGAGAGAAACTTCATTACTACTGTCATTATTTTTAGGCAGATAGTTTTTGAAAATTCAGAATTAATACATGAGAAAGAATGCATGAAAATACAGTAATAGTAAAACAACGGATCTTTAACTATTCCCAACCCTACTGCAAATGAGGGAAACTTCATTACTACTGTCATTATTTTTAGGCAGATAGTTTTTGAAAATTCAGAATTAATACATGAGAAAGAATGCATGAAAATACAGTAATAGTAAAAAAAACGGATCTTTAACTATTCACAACCCTACTGCAAATGAGGGAAACTTCATTACTACTGTCATTATTTTTAGGCAGATAGTTTTTTGAAAATTCAGAATTAATACATGAGAAAGAATGCATGAAAATACAGAAATAGTAAGAAAGGAAATCAAAATTAAACAATAACACGACTAATCGTAGCATGGTAGAGCCTAGAATGTTTTTACTGGCCCAGAAGGTATCTTAAGTTTTCAGTTACTGGTAAATTTCATAAATTACATTTTGAAAAAGTCCCTTTTTTCGCTACGTGCTCCCACGCGAAATGCCTAGTTCACGGTCATATTTTTACCAACTAGTTACGAGTTATTTGAACATTTGCATTACCTCAACTCAATTTCAAATGTTTTCTGGGCCACTTAAGTTCCGCCTTAAAGAAAACTGGTAAAAGCGCGCATTAATTAACCCAAATTGGCTAAATTTTAGAACCCTCATATCATTGCGAAAACAGATTACGGGTGAAAAATCTTTTTAATTTTTGGCTCAGAGCATCAATGTCTGACACAGAGGCAGAGAAGAGCTTCGCGCCCCTTGTGACAAAACACAAACATAAAAAACATGTCGACAAAATAAAAGAGAAATATAGAAACAAACTAGGCCTAACTTAAATTTTCGCATGTCTCGATGGAATTTCATTCAAGGCAAAAAAGACAGACCCTTGGGTTACAAAAATAGCAATGGATCAAAACTCACGAGGAGAATTCAAAACCCATAATCTTTGAGCAGACAAAATGAGCCGAAAACCAAACAATTAAATATGTAAAAATAAAATTTTCAATTCCCTCCTGAAACTACAAAAAACTGCTACCAGAAAAAAAACAAAATCCGTGATGTGGCAACTAAGCCGACAAAACTTGAGCAGATAAACGAAAAACCATCAAATCAAAGTTCACTTTCGAAAAAATTTTCAATTGCGGAAATGCTGAAAAAATGAGGTCCGGCCGGGACTCGAACACCAGACCTTAGGGTGTGAAAAATAGACTGATAGTATGAAAATATGCTGGTGTAAATAATTAATGAATAAAATTATACATCTCTAATAATTAATTGAAAACAGTGATGTCGAATATAATAATTTGTTTAACAATTGGTTTAACCAATTGGTTTAAAAAATGGTTTGTTAAACTGATTTAACCAATAACCAATTGGTTAAATAAAATCTTTTTAACCAATCAAAACTGGGCTATACTTTAAGTAATCAGGTTTAAGTATTTAAGTTTCGAATCTAAGCAAGGTCAAGGAATCGTTATTTTTTTCAACGCCACCCATCACTCAGTCATGTTTCATCGATTGATAATTAGCAATTTTGGCAAATTAAAACAATTTGAGGTCCCAATCAATTTAGGGGGGGGGGGGGGGGGGGGGAGGAGAGAATATGGATATTTCATGAACTAGCTTTGAAAATAGCCTAGATTCATTCAAAATTGAGCGTTTTACTGAAAAAAATTGAATTGAAAGACTAATCTATGCAAATACCAGTATACAGTATTGCTATCTTGCCAACAAGAATAAAGAAACCAATTTTATTTGCACGATTTCATGAAATGCATATTTTATACAATCAATTTTCAGATTTAATAGATACTTGGGAAGGGCATTCTATGGTTGGCCATTAAGGCATTAAAGGGGGGGGGGTGGTGGTGTGAGAGATTGTACTGTCGATCCTAATTTGATAACATCCTCCAAAATTCGCGTTCCGAATACTTTTAAAGCTTGCATCATTTACTATAAAATAGAAAGTATTTATAATTTGTTTTATCAATGTTTGAAAATAAAATTGGTTGAACCGATTTGGTTAAAAACATTTTAATTGGTTAATGGTTAAAAAATCGGTTAGTTTTTTAACTGGACATCACTGGTTGAAAACAGCTTAAAAAGCTGCCCTAAAAAAGCTGCAAATGATGGCACGCCGAGCGAATGTTTGCGGCATTTCCACGTTTTTTCTTGCTGAGAGTGACTTTTCTCGAGTCAGAAGTCAAGCCACCAAAATTGAGCATGAATAATGAATAACTTCGAGACTTTTCCTATACAAAAAACCACACAATCACTTAGTTGCTTAAAACTTACAAAAGAAAATGAGAGACACTCGAAAAACGGTTATACTTCATCTGTATTTGAAGAAAGTCTTGAAAAACAGATGTATTGAAAAACTTAGAGAATTTCTCACTTTTCGAATAAAGTTGACCTTCGCGACGTATCAAAATTTTTCGTTTACTTTGATGGCAAAATTATTCAACTTTGATGGAAAAACCTTTCTTTCGAAACATTGCTAGATGGTACAGATAATCAAACTAAAGCTCACATACCACTTGAATTAACAATAGCCATTTCCGTACTTCATACACATCTGTGTAAACGAAATGCATAATGTATTTCACGCAAAATTTTTTTTCGATGCTTTGCTTTATTCAGACGACGCTCAAATGCACAGTAATTCTGCGCAATCAAATCTGCGGCACGAAAGATAAATTGTCCTCCTAATATTACGCAGGCTGCGCTCGCTTGAAAAGGTATATGCCAAGAGAAAAAGGCCAGAAAAACTGAAGCGAGAATAAATTTCAAAATTAGTAAAATATTTTTTGCTTCATTTATGGACTGTTATCAGGGGTGTAAAAAAGATTATTGTGAATCCGATAATCGCCGATAAGATATATCGATAAAATCTATCGTTCGAAAAAAAATTATCGAGATAATTATCGATTGAAAAAAATTATCGTTCCGATAACTTTTATAGTCAAATTTTACCGAAATCTAGCAATTTAACTGAAATATTTCGCTTCCAGTTGTGGAAATCGAATAATAGGTTAGTGAACTTTACTGCATCAGACAGTGTTTGTTTATTTAGTAGTAGACTACCGAAAACGAACAACACCTGTGAACCTTGAGAGTCAGCTGTTCCTGTTTTCTAATAAATCATTTTGGAATGTTACTTCATTTTCAAAAATTGTGAATTAAAAAGTTCAGCTGCAGTTTTTTTTCGAGCGATAATTTTCGATATATCGATATATCTATCTTTAAAAAGTATGACAAAACGATAATCTATCGAATGACTCCGATAATATCTATATCGATAATTTTACAACCCTGACTGTTATAAGAGGGTCGTACCGAAGTTCTACTGACCGAATTTCCACATATTGGCTATCTTAGGCTAACAATTTTCCAATTGTCGCTTTGAAAACTTTGCTGTTCGCATTTTCGTTCAACAATTGATTTAAGAAATTGACCATTTTTTTGTTTTCCACATCAAACGGGAGTTATAATTGCCATATATTTTCAGTAAGACTAAATTTAATTTCACCTCGATTGCATTGCAAGAGAAATTTCTGAACTATAAAATTCTGTTAAGTTTGTAACTCAGTGATGCTTTTTGATATTTGTTTAGATGTTGGTAACTATCGCCCTCATCTTGAGCAAAAGAGGGGAAATCGTTACAAGGTACAAAATTTGTATATGCTTGGTTAATCGTTGAATTGGTCCTTTATGGAAAATGTAGAAAGAGGTCCATCGACTTGGTCTTTTATGGGAACTTTTTCCTTGGGAACAGGGGGGCGTTGACAAGATCGCAATTTTTCATCCATTGCAAGTGACCGCTTCTCTCTTGTTTTAATCAATTAAGTTACCTAGAGAACCCCATCATTTACGGAATTTATCTCGACTTAAATAAATTCTTGCAGCAATAATAGCGGTCAGAAATTTCTGTTTCACCTACGCAACGACCGGCGACTTTTGTTTATCCGAAACACTTTTATAGATTTTCATGCACAAGGAAAACCGCGTTTCTGAGAAAACAACTACTCGCCCGTCTTCTAAGTTCTAACCCTTTGACCAGACAAACTATTGACAAAATTAATGGAATGCTTTAGATCTAAATCTGGCCAAATAGACAATTCCAATTTTTGCAGCTAGTTGACAACGGTCACAAATATATTCAAACTCAAAATAAACAACTTCGCTAACCTTCCTCCGATAAATACTTGAGGCACGGACACCGAAATTTGGAACTGTACTCGGTCAAAATTCTTGGTCAATAAGCTGCCAAGTTTGTCCTCGTATCTAGACTGCTGTTCTAAACTCTCTAGAGCACAATTTACTGCATGAATGAAATTATTTCTGCCCATATCATTTCCATTTTCAATATAGGAAAACTTCATTTTCTTACTTCTGGGTTGCACAGCTTTTTCGGCTAAAAGTTCAGTAAACAAGTTCTGGTTTGGAGGTAAAATCACTACATTAACACAACAGGGTAATGGGGTATTGCATGTAAATCTCAAATTTGGGCGAACCATTTCTGTTCTATCTTGACTCCCATGTTTCTGTTGTTCATTCAACCTCTGATCGCAATATTCATTCAGGCGGTTACACAACATGTTCCGAAACACTTCTTTGATGTTTATCAACTTTGTGTCAATTGAAAAGACAGGTAAAGCCTTGTTATCAGGTTGTAGCCCGTCGCCACCGCCGCTCTTCGCTTCCCAGTTTAACAAGGCTCCAAGGAGAAAGAAATTGAGATAGACAACGTCTGGAACATGCACGGTGATAAAGAAATTGTCCTCAGTAAATTGCCCCACCCGATTCATTATCCCTTCAACTGTTGATTGAAGAATTTTCAAAATTCCATAGCACAAATTACAGTTTTCACTACCTATGTCCGAAGATTTAGAGGTAACTTCATCCAGAAATTTCACAGGAACAACAGAATTTTCAATTGAAAAATACGGTATCTTCGATAGAACTTCATGGAGACAAAAATAGCAAATAGCCACCTTCTGCTTTACTTCAAGCTGAAGACCATTCATTTTCAACCTGAAATGGAATAGACCAAATTATTATAGCATTTACGAGCATTTACTATTGAGTACTAAGTAAAGTTCAAGCAAACAAGCCACATTCTCAAAGTATTTTTTCTTTCCAAAAAAGCATCCATGAACTTATAACTACCTGTGTTGCACAAATATGTCTACATTAAACGAAACTGATTTTTAAAACAAACTATTCTGGTCTAAGCCGCAGCACACATCTAACAAAAGCACCCAATATAATTTCAAATAAATATGTTAACTAAGTTCAATCTTCCATTAACTGATAGGAGCATATTCTTTCGATGTCGTCTGGGCTGAGTGAGTTGATTGATTCTTTGTATAACTAGAAACAAAGCAAATCTTTTCGCTAACAAATAAAGTGCCGCAAAAAATAAATGCGGTTTCTCCGTTACTCTGAGGATAAATGTTAGGCCATCAGGCCTGTCTATGAAATCCGTTTCTAACGGTTACCAGCATTCCAAACAGAAATTTCTGCTACTCAAGACTTTTTTTATGACTCAAACTGAAATTTTTAGGACTCTTTTTTACGACTCAAGACCAATTTTTTGCGCCTAGAGCTCTCACGTGCTACCACTATTGCAGTCGATATCAATCAAGCTGTGGCAGACCTGAGACTAGAGGTCAAGTAAAAGCTCGTCTTCGCAAACTAGCATTGCAATGACAGAGGATCGAATACACGATCTAACCATCTCAAATTGAACGCCTTACAAAATGAACGCCAAAACGAAATGCCTTTAACAAATCAGTTTGAAAACAAGCGAACGGTTGCGATGAAATTCTCAAATAGTTTCCGAGAAGTCAAATGACAGATTCAAACACTAAAACCAATGATACAATTGGTGGAACAGATCTAGAAGCCCAAAAGAGAACTACTAATTCTACGGTAACAATTAACCACCTTTACGTTAAAGAGATCAAACACCAAAAACTGCTAATGCCAAGTCCGAAAACAGAGGGAACGTGGGGTACTAATTTCTTGTGAAAAAACTGATGATATATTACAGAAATCCAAGCTGCAGCTGAAACAATCAATGCAGAAAAGTTTCATTAAGCAGTAGCTGGAATGAAAAAAGAAATTATGCTAAATATATGACCGAGGTATACAAAAACAAACAAACAAGCTATTGTTACTAAAAAGCTCCAAAAGGCGCGACAACGTACAAATTCAAGGACTTTCAATGAACGAAACAACTAAAAGCTACAATTAAAAAAAGGGGTAAATTTATTGATACAGGTAAAAATATATATATATAGGACCCAACGTGTCGGTTCACGATAAATCAAAAGCACGCAAATTACCAACTTGAAAATTAAATACTAAAAAAACAGTGACTATTCGCTTCAGAAGGCGAATTGTGAATTACAGAACAGAAAAAAAAGCCTGATAAAGAGCATGCAAGAACCATAAAACTACTGAAGACCTTAGCCACTAGAAATATTCTATGCAAATGATTCGGAATGATCAAAAAATTTGATCGAACTGGAATAAAGATGGCATTTTTGTTCGATGAAAAAACAGTCTATCTGTAAACCAAATAAGTGGGCTATATAGGGCTGTATGAACCTCATGAAGGCCCTAAACGAAGTGAAAGCTTAAATGAAACTTTCAGTCACAACGTGATATATTACGTCCAACTGGGTTCTGGCTTCTTTGAAAGCGAGAACATCTGTCTTCAAAACTCGATTATTACAACACTATTCTGGGTAAAACTTAGAGTAATAACGTAGTTAGGGCTCGTAATTCAATGAAAGGACAAGGCTACCCTCATTGTGAATATCTAAGCAAGTTGCCCCAAAATTGAATGATTCATGTGAAAGCATTCTATAAACGCTGTACAGTTTTTAATGACTGTAATCCGCCTTCGATCGATCAATTTTCTTGCCTTGATGAACTAAGAAACTTCCAAGAAATTCCATTGAAAATCCTTTAAAGCCTGTTACACCTGAAAATAGTCCCAAGCGTCCAGATTGATAATTTACAATCGAATGACCTCTCTGCACAATATGTTGATGTCATTGAAAGCAATGTTTTGAGAAAAATACAAAATCAAAGCGAATTATACAAAGACAAGTGAAACACTAAGTATTGATCTACCCACTCTCCGGTTATGTTAGGGCTTTACCAATCTCTTAAATTGACGAAAACACTGAAATTTACCGTGATACTAATTTTCTAAACTCACTTCTGAAAGTTGACAGCTTTATTCAGGAGATATCACAATCGATGGAAACTAACTCATTCAGATAATTGATCAAGGGCTCACAATCTCCGTGATTTAAACATTTTAAGAAAACTTTTTGTAAATTTTGAGCAAGTAAAGCGAGTGCTTAGGTCTTTCAAACAAAACTTTCATTGCTTTCGAAGATTCATTTTTCTTTAGAACTTTTTCTGAGATACCCTTTTTCTATTTTTAGTTGGTTATTCAATAAGCATTTGACGATTATGCTTAATTCTGTATTTTACTGAGCGTTCGTTTAGTGCTCTTCTCACACCACGCAAGCAAACGACACTCCATTATAACAACTTGTGTTTCTAAGTGTTCTTCATCAGGATCAGTTTTACTTTACGAAGCCCACTTTTACAGCCTTTCTCCACAGCATAAATTTATTTCCGCTTAACCACGTTTCCACGCTATTTTTCTCTTCTAGGTACTTCTCCATGTTTCCATTCTGATTATTTAAAAACTTATTGATAACAATAGCAAACATAACTATCCGCTTTTTCACATTCAGGAGGAAAAAATTGATAAGCACAATAATTAGAGATCCTAGTATGGACCCTTGAGGTACAAAGAATGCTTCGCGATAACTAAGTGTGACATGAGGAAAAAACTGCATGGTCTAAACAGGCATTTGATTTGTTCTGGCAATTTGGATATGTTTTCTCAAATATTTGTCATTTAAATATAACTTGCATAACAACATAACTTGCAGATTAATCACAGCCGCCCTCATTGACATCCCTTACTCTAATGACGCTGAGAATCGTTGCTGTCTTGCCCACTCGTCCACAACGGAAACGCAAAACCAGGAAGTCTTTGAATGAGAGGCACCACTATGCCAAGCAACAAATGTTTGTGAAGTGGATAGAAAGCCGACGGTATATATTACGCCCAATTTAACGAAAAAAAGTAGGTAGTCTTCTTGGTTCCGCAATTGCTCTAAATCGAATTTTTTCAGCTAATTCGATCTTTGCAACTCGACAAATTTCATAACTCCCAGAGTATATTTTTATTAGAAGCCCCAGGCATATGTACTAATGTTGATTTGTATGGTCTAAAAGCTTTGGATTCGATGTCCACGGCACAAAGTTCAAGTCTTGGGATGGATTCGATTTTTTTCTCACAGTCGTGACATAGCAGCAACTAGAGTACACCTAGCATCGGCATTGCCTGAAGATTCCCGGGCAAAGGCGCAAGCCCCGTAGGCAATTTCCGACGCATCACACCAGATAAGTAGTTGCACTGGGAGCGTCACTGGGATTTACATCGCGTCACTGGAGCTCATCTACGGTTTCAGTGTACACATCCAGTAGTGGAACTGATACCCAATCATCTTCCGAAATGTTCAATCGTCGATTTTAGAGTAGCAAAACTTGCCATTGTCTTGGAAAGTCCTCGATTGAAATCTTTAGTCTGTACTGGGACAGGAAATCTGGGCTGGCGTTTTTCAAGTCTTGTCTAACGTTGGCTTAGAATCACTGATGGGAAACTTGCCAACGTTGGTGTCACTTCGTGGTTAGACCTCGTTTCAAATTTACCAGAACAGCCGGGCACGCATGTGAACTCGATCGTAAGTCTTTGTAGGTGCCTGATGTTTTTTTCCCGGGGTCATCCGGAGGTCTTTTATAGACATCAACGTTTTACAGTTTAGAAGGTAGGATTCATGCCGATGTTGGTGTCGCTCCGGGCACCTGAAAAAGACCTCGTTTCCCAGCCTCCCGATCAATCAGAGCCGCATGGGAACCCCATTGGTACTTTTCGGAGGTACCTGAAATGAGCCTTTCGAGGTGCTCGGAGACGTCAAAATTACATCAACTCAAGAATCCTGAGTACAATTTGCTTCTAGCAGTTTTGGCTCAGTAATCCTGCTAGAAGCCAACGGAACCCCCTTGAAGCTTCGAGCATCCCGTGGAGCTTTAAATCGTCAAAAACTGGAACCTGCACCTGTCGCTCTTGAGATACCATACATGACCTAACGTCTTTAGTGCCTGGTCAATGTCGTATACCGGGATCTCTTAGCTCTCTCGAGACTTGCAGGGATCTTCATCATGACAAGTCTTCCCGAGCTAGACTACTAGCAATCTACATTCCTGCAAATGCTAGTGTACTGGTAACTTCCTTTGGTAGACGAAATGTATCTCTAACAGTGCTGGCTCCTCCGAGGAAGTCCTAATATAAAAGGGCTCCCGAAGAGAAGTCTTCGTGAACACTAATGGTGCAACATCAGCAGTGATTCGAAGTGCACGGATTGCATGGAACTTGCTGGAGACTACCCATAGATGGCGAGGATGAGTCTCCACTTCTTCAGAGGGTCCACAGGAGTGGACCTCCAGAATAGCTGACTAAGATAGCGATCCGTGGGATCCAAGATGAGGTGACGATAAATTTTCGTGATAACCCCATTCAAGGCAATCCTGAAGAAATGCAGTCGTATAAGATCTCGAAGAGGTCCTGTTGTTCTTTAGGACCGGTCATGATGCAGTCGTTCAGACTCAGCCAGTTTGATGTCAGTGCCTAAGTGACACCTCGTCGTTGAAGAGTCTTCCTTCCAAACTGCTTGATGTGGCATCACGTAGAACTTTCCGGCTAGGAGGAAGGTGTCCTGCTCGGGTACCTCTTCCAGATGACCAGTCTGGATCATATCTTCGAAAAAATCCAGACACTCAATCCGAGCCGCTAGACTCCTGGAAAGCTTCTGTTTGTTGCAAGAGAACTCGCTCAGGGCTCTTCGCGAGGAGGGACTGATGTCTGGATCCATTCATTTGTAGTATCATGGAAGAAGCATTGCGTTTTGCCTTGTTGACTATTGGTCTGCCCTCTGGATATTCAGATGTTATGGCATTTTACTGGTTATTACACTGTAATTCCTGCGAAGTGCATTGGGACTCCTGAATCTCTTGAACATCCTCGATCTCCCAGAACCTCTCGAAGGATCGTCTTTCGCAATCCAGAAGTTGGATTCTGTAGTCCGATGGCAACCGGGAGTTCCTTGCGGACGTTAAGAGGACCTACGATCCAGTAGAGGAAACTCTGTCCAAGTGAAAGGTCATTTTCCTAGTTCAGTGAACTGGGAATCTGCCAAAAGGGAAGTGTGAAGATGCATTGCAGTCGAACCACTCAAAACAAAACTCGTTTCGGGGAACCATTTTTGGCAGCATTCTGGTCGAATGTCACATTAAATATTCTCTAACTCAAGCTTCGGGAAACTCAATGGTCCGATTCTTTCTCTCGCATGTGCATAGAGAAATCTAGTTAGGGTTTGAAGTATCTGGAAAACTGCTTTCTCAAAAAATTACTCTTCGATCATTGCTTCAATGAAATTAACAACTCATTACGAAAAAAATTCTTACAACCTGAAGGCAGTGAATTGCATCCTTCGAAAATTCATTTGTTTCTTATACAATTAGTTATTTCACAAAGAACTCATTTCGCTGAATTTTTGAGGATAGTTAGGTACATTTTTGCACAGCTCCTACGCTACAGGCAAAGTTAGTGGAACAAAACTGATGTAATCAACTTCCAGAGTTGAAAAAATATTAACCTGATGAAACTGACGAAGAAATTCGTTGACAGCAGGCTCGGTTAAATGTTTCTGACAAATTGCTCGCAAATTAGCATAAAGTAGCTTCTCAGGATCGTTTTCAAGAGGGTAGATTTTCTCCTGGTTAAGTAAACCAGATTCCTTGGGAATCATTAGCACTAACTTATCGCCATCTGATATCTTTGTATCCGACAGTCTATCTTCGGCTGAAAAAGCAACGTACTTTGTTATTATTTACGACAAAGCAAAATGATATGACCAGAAAAACATACTTTTTATAGTTTTCCCTTTGTGCAAAATTTTGAAGTCTGATGGCAACCAAGGCAACTTTTCTTTCATCAAAACTATCAGATCAATGACTGCACATTCACTGTTTACTTCCAGCTCCACTTCTGCTGATTGTGGCGACAAAACTTTGCAATAAAGCTTCATACCTAAGTCTGAAAAAAAAGTTATAACATTGAGGAAATATTCATAACTTTCCGCGCTTTTAAACATTTATAATTAATCTAAATTAGTTTAAAAAAAAACGTTTTGGCTTTAAGTAGCATCGCCAGGTATGTACAAACGTACATATGTAGTAAAAAAATAACAAAATGATTAGCATTAAATGTTTAAAATAGTGATAAGTCAATAAAATTTTTAATTTAAAATCGAACGTTTTCCCTATAGCTAGCATCATCAGGTATATACATCTAAAAGTCAAATTGCTTAAAGTTAAAAAGGTTTTTACGATCAAAATTACTAATATTAAAGTTTATGAGTATCTACGAATACTACATAATTATCAAAACGATTTTTTGAAAATTTCGTTTTTGGAGATATTTCGTTCTTCAACACGTGTACAAAACTTTATGCCGATTTTCTCACCTTCAAATTATTTCCAGGGTTAAAATAACATATTTAGTCATTCTGTATGGGCATGGGGTCTAATTCGAAAAAATAAAATTCGAATCAAGCTGACATGCCTAATGTCAGACTAACATTTAAGTGTGAGCTCTCGGCTCCTGTAATCGACGCGCGTAATCAGTTGCGACTTGCATTCACCTATATGGAGGACTATCAGAATTTTAAAATGTTAATTCAAACGTTTTCGCACATTTTGGGCATCATCAGTATTAAAATTTTTTACAGTATTTACAGAACGGTGCGTATTCATAGGTTCCAAAATGAAAAATCAGTCCCAAAAGTTCTAAAATAAACAAGCAGTGGCATAAGTCCCAAATCTTTTCAATTGGTCTAAAGACCAAATTAGCCGAGTCTCAACTTAAGGTCGCCGGTAGGCTCGCAATGCGCTCGTCCAAGCTTCGCGGCAATAACCGGCTCTAAATTTCGTAAAGAGTCCTACCCTTTCGTGGCAAGCTTGCAACACGTTGGCGCGGCTGCGGCGGTCACTATTCTGCAGCTGGAGTTTATGCTGCTTGAACAGTATATAATCAATCAATAACTTCGTTGGCTCAAAATTTAACCAATCAGAAATCAATAAGATAAATTTTGGGACTTAAGCGACTGATTTTCTTTGGCAGCTATGAATATTGGAACCGATGAAAATTCACTTTACAAAACGATCAAAGGCCTGAAAAAATGGTTATACCGTCCCCTACTTAAGTCACATGTGAGGTTAAAGAAAAATAGGCCCTATAACCATTGGCTCAAGAGTCAGGGACACTATCTCTTGTGTTTTTCTACCTCGAACGGTCGGAGCCAAATCGGTTCACTTGCGACATGAGACTAAAACCCTCGTTACAACTTAAAGGCCACTACCAAAATACCCCCCCAGTCTAAAAAATAAGATCTTCACCATACTTAGGTTTTAACATACACAGAATACGCGAACGCCGTTAAACACAGGGTCTGAACAGTGCGTACAGTTACTTTATATTAGACAGTGAAACTTTGATCCATATCAGATGGATCAACCGAAAACTCTCCTTACCTCAATTTAACAATTATAAAACACACTCACGAAAACTAGATTGGGTACTCACATACCAGCACACTCAAGAATTGGAGTAACTAAAATAATCAGTAACTCTAGCATTAAGGTAATTAAGTTTTAACTCAAGAAGTTTGTAATCAAGGAATTCCAGCAAAGGAAAAGAGTTTTGACTCTAGAATTGATTTTTGGACCTGGACCATTGGGAGATCCCAGCTGTCCACCTTTCCACTGAGGGTTCACTCTGATCCACTTCTTACTTGTCTTTGCTTTACTCGCAATCGCTCTGCTTCGTGTTCAGGATAGGACAGCTCTACTCTCGTGTAATTTTTATATCTGGAACAGTATATAAAAACACTATATTGACCGAGTAAAGTAGTCTTTCCCGCTGCTTTTTTCGACTACTTTTTACCGCGGTTGTAATTCGTTTAATCTGTTCTTCTATTTCTGAGATTTTCAATTGTCGCGAGAAAGTTGAGCATGACAGGCTCAATTCGAATTTTTGAAAAACTCCATTTCACCGCAAAATTACGTTGTTCGTATTGCTCAAGATCAATTTTCCAAATATGACCGACTGGCACATACTCCCCGGACTCAAGATCGATGTCCTCATTGCTTGTTGCCGTCTGCCAGTGAATCCCCAGAATGTTGAGTGTTGCTCAAGATACAGTGCCAGTGGTCATTTACAGAAGTTTGCAGCAGATTTAACTTTATCTACACCCCAAAATTCACAACCATACAAAACTGTCACACACTGTCGCTGAACAGCAATCAAAATCTGCATATACCTGCACCTTAAATTTCCGCTTTATAAGCTAATGATTAAAATTTATTTTTGTCTTATCCAATCAGAAAGTTGTCATGCAGCATTTTGATTTATATAATAAATATAACATATTTATAACAATATTTCCTTTCGTTAAAATTTCTTTTTCGTGACCGCGGATTTCATCCGAGTCCACACTCGAGCACCCTTTTTCCTTCTCAAGACTCAAGAAACCCTCACTGAGCCCCTTGCTCATTTCGTATTCCTAGCCTATGAGGTGCTAAGCCCTGATGTGTTTGACACAGTGATCTGCCTTACCAGCGCTTCCTCATCATCGGAGCTGATTACAATCTCTTCCCACGCTTTTAACTGTTCGAAGGATCGCATCCACTCCCTCTGCTCTTGCAACCTCTTTGCTTGGTTTGGAAAACCCTTCACTTTCGATTCCCTGTTCAAGCAAAAAAAATTGTGCAGGCTCAGGCTCACATTCTTCGCCAGGTCCTCTTTCAGTATTGATTCCCTCGCCTTGGTATTATCTCTAGACACCCCACCGACTTTTTTCCATCCCGCCGTGATCGCATTTCGGTGGGTCAGCAAAGATCTCTTGAAGGTTTCCGGTCCTATCTCTGCCAGGAACTGTCGGTATTCTCTCTGATGCCTCTTCATGTGGTCTTTCGTCACCATATACAACCAAGATGTCAATGTCGCTCGAAACCACGGAAAGAACCTTATGCGGCTCCATATGTGCCTGACCTCCATAGGTATGGTTAACACCTTGCACGCAGTCTCAAATAACTCAAGTCTCCTGCTATAATCAATAGCGTATATCGATTCCGCCGTCGGTGTCTTCGACTCCCGATATTTCGTTACATTCTCCTCGATCCACCGCAACTCCAACATTGTGCTCACTACCAAGATGGTCACCTTCTTCCGATGATCGGGTAATCCGATTGACCGAATTTCTTGCACGTCCCACACTAAACAGAGGTGTGAGTGTTCCGGGTACCACACCGTTTGTGCCAACCAATGGCATCGGCATTCCCCATGTGTAATACTGATGCTTCGGAGATTGCGTTTCTCCCGAAGCTTCCAGTAGAGGTTCCAATTCCATCATCTTCTCATGCGTTGTATCACTTTCCTCCTGTGCTGGGACACTACTCATTGGCTTCCCGATGGTATTCTGTCTCTCGAAGTCACTTGTGTTTTCGCCTTCCGAACTCAAGAGTTCTTCTCCCCAGATTTCAATCAAGTCATCTCTTTGTTCCCTTGGTACAGTTCCCAGGATCTTTTTCAACAGCCTATTTGATTGATGCGACATTCGAGCCAGTCGTACGCACTAGGATACCGAGAAGGCTTTGTCTACTAATATCCTTTGGCTGGATACCTCTACCATCGCCATGTGTAATGGATAGTGGCTCCCACCAAGGATTTCGCATTTACTGGCAGACCCGCTGGTCCAACGAAGGGATTTGCCATCAATGGCAATGCGGACGAAGGTGTTCTCATCGCTTCCTCGAAGTGATCCCGCAACAAGTTCTGCCAAGTTCGCTTCAGCTGACTTCCCAATTCTAATTTGTTAACCTCGGCTTTTTGTTGGGTAAACCAATTGCGACGCTTGCGGGACACTCCACGATCGAGCTTTTTCAGACAATCCTCCAGTTCTTTCATTGTCTCCAGAGCCACCCACTAAGGTCGAGCCGTATTCCTTGTCGCAATTTTCTCAAGAGGGTCGCTGGCCACTTGTTTGCCAATAGCCTGATGCTCGCTCGAGATCCATTCTTTGCCAACATCCACTTCCCATGTTTGTCCATTCGTCGAACCCTTGTTCGAGCTTGCCTTCTGAGGTCTGAAGTCGCCTTTCTGCTCAGGCGTATTCCCCACTTCCATTTCTTTTTTTGCTTCGCTGAGAGTCACATCCATGCTCTCCCTTTCTGACTCAGCTCGCCTTCACTCAAGTTCGTCTCTAAACCTCGTCTCCACGGGACGCTTCTCTTATCTCCAGGGGTGCCCACTGATAGGGGTGAGGGTGTAGCTGGATCCTGCTTCTTGTATTCCGTGAGGGCTACATATAAGGGGCCTGCCGCATTCAGCTCCTTTTCCCCTTGCTTCATCTCCAACTGCTCCAGCCCGTAGGGTGCTCAATACTTCCTCGTGGCGAACTTCATTTCGTCCTTCAAGGCGATGTGTCCCTCCTCCACAATAATTTTTCTATCATCCAAACTGGCAGCATACACTCCAGTCTGGCCTGATCAAGCGTCCTCAAGATATCCCAAAACTCGAACTTCGGGGGCAACGAGCCTCTCATCCTCTTCGCCTGGGTCGTCCACGAGTTTGTTTTGATGTCGCACGTGTGGAAATAGACTGCGGCTGTGTACCCTATGAACAAGGGGTCCCAACCGTCCGTGAACTCCATCTGTTGCTTCTCCACCATGGCTCTCGCGTATAGGGACGGGACCATCAATGGGCTATTCATCCCCAGTGTCATTCTCCTGACTATCGGGAACTCTAGTATCATCTCTAGCTCTCTCTTCACTAGATCAAAACTCTCCTTCCATACCGGGATTCTCAAGATCTCGTGCTTATCCGCTGCCAGGGGGTTCAAGTTCCAGAACTTGGGGTAGGCCTCAGTGGGACCCTCACGTTTCCTCCCCATTCTGCAATGCAACTGCCCCCGGAAGTTAAATACCATTAGTTCGGGATCTTTCACCTTCCCGAAGAGCACTGTGTCGCTCATCCGTGCCCTCAG